ATAACTGGGCGGTGTTAAATAAAATGGCAATTAATGCTAAAAAAACTAAGGACATGTGGATCTCTTTCACGGACGCTATACCTGAACCACCACGTCTTCGTATTGGAAATGATTTAATAGAAAGGGTCAACGCTTTTAAATTACTTGGCGTGTCGTTCCAAAATAATCTAAAATGGAACGCACATGTTGAAGAGATTACACGTAAAGCAAATAAACGCCTTTACCATCTTAGAGAATGCAGGAAATCACAGTTACCAGCTGAAGTCGGTATTATTACCTATCAATCCAAAATAAGACCAATTCTCGAGTATGCATCACCTGTATTTTGGGCGGGACTGCCTAATTACCTGCGAGATGAAATAGAGCGGGTTCAATCCAGGAGCTTAAGAATCCTTGGCCTGGAAAAAGATTACCTACCACCGCTGAACGAAAGAAGGGAAGAGGCAACTAGTCGAGAAGTTGATAGGTTTATGAACGATCCAAACCATCCCTGTCGCAGTGTTTTGCCAAAATTAATTAACAATCGGTACAATTTAAGGAACATTGACCGGAATCGCAATATATCATTCTTCTCAGGAACTGAAAGGCATAAACATTCTTTTTCAGGAAGAGCTTGTAAATATGTATAAATAATTTTAACTTATTGGAAGAACTTATTAGTTTAAAGAACTTATTAGTTTTAACTTCTTAGTTAGTTTTCTAAATTATCTTACAACAAGTTGTAATATAAAGACATACCCACAGCATATATACTTTCTTAAACAAGTAATTGTAAGTCCATTGTACTTTTTTATCTTAAGATGGATGAATAAAGCTATTATTATTATTATTATTATTATAAGCTATTATCCGCCATTTGTGTTGGTCGATATTCGCAATCTTTCGGGCAAAAACCCCGCTCATTTTCGTACAATACACCAACGACTAAACATTGTACCACTTACTTTCAGCTAAACGAATGAATATATAACTGTTTTGTGCTAGAAATACAAATGGAAAAGGTCCTAAAAGACAAATTCGTTCAACTCAGGAGCGGCCGTGTAAAATCAAATCAAAAGCGGTGTTTCCACTATAAAAACTGTATTGTTCCATTTTTCATTCGTATTCATTGGAAATGAATTAGAAATGTATTGCCTGTTGCGGAATGCGAAAACATCGAAATAATTTTGTTGTTTTTTTATCCAAACGTTAAGTTATAAAATATCTTCAACATTTCTACAAATTCAGTTATTCTTTTATCTTTGAGGCAGTGATAAAGCCATTTAAAAGTTGTAGTAGATTAACTTTGAATATAACATTCCAAGAAAAGATTTATCATGCATGATGTTGTTTTTTTTTATACTACATTTTGGGCGAGACTTTTCCTTCGTCCTTGCATTATTAACTGATATTTTTCAATCTTTTTTGCATTATAAAATTGACAACAAAATTGCAAATCCTTACGCACTCTTTGAGTGCCTATTTTTTAAAAACGTCTTGCAGACAGCGGATTAAATATTCGTGTTAGTATGCTGGCGGTAAATTTGTTTTCTTAAA